GGGGGGGTGGGGGGGTTGGAGGGAAGAGATAAAAGGTGACCCAAGGATATCATGTCGAGATGAGCTGAAAACATGTCAGTCTCACAAAAATCCTCAATGATGTCACTGGACATAACCTCTGCATAAAGAAGGATAACAGGCCAATGAAGAATATTGTTTTTGTCTAGAATTGGCTTTTTAAGTCCAGTGAGTTCTTGATACATTGCCTTCCCAATTCGTAGTCCTCTATGCTCAAAAGCGGAGACAAGGCCCTGAATGTATTCAAACTAAAAGGTAAACAGCACGCCCAATATTTAAGAACTTGATTTTTGCTTAAAACCATAAATTTGAACCTCTGCTGCTTCCACAGCCTTGGAAATTTCAGCTTGGCGCTGTTCGTGTACTGACATCTTTAGATCAATTTGCTTGGCTAGCTTCTTCAATTCTTCGTTATCTGGCGATTGGTCAAGGCCTTTTTCACAGTATGACTTCGCTTCATTCAACAAATCCAGTGACAGTGATGCTTTGACTGCTCTGTAAAGTGCCTAAAAAAGAGTGTAGAGGTTAATGATATAGAAAATAATAATACAACTTATGACAAAGATAATTAACACAAAATTACAACCTTAACGTTTGTTGGACAGAGTCTGATTGCCTCCTCGGCATCCTGGAGAGCACGTCTGTAATTTCCCAGGAGCAGATTGACATGAGCTCTATTTGAATAAACAATAGAGTTCTCTGAATTGCTTAAAGCCTTCTGATTTATAGCTCTGGTGTAACAATCAATAGCATCCAAATAGTGCTTTTTGCCACTTTTCACATACTCATTACCCTTTTCCTGAAAGCAGCCGTAACAACGATAAATCTTCTTTATCCTCATTTTTAAGCTTTCTCAAATTCCATTGTTTCCCTTATTAACACAAACAGGACTTAACAAAAGCAAAACAAATTGCAGGTAACGATAGACAATCTCGTAAACATCAACAAACATCTTACAAACCCTTTTCTTATCATTGAGTTCAAAGGTTGGACCAGTGTACTAAGTATGCATATACATATGGGTCGGAGAAATAATGAAGGATTTTTCCCATTCAAAGATTGAATCTTCACTGATAATGCAATACAAGATTGAATTAAAAAAAAAAATCGCTCAAAAGGCCAAAGAAGAAAGCGATTTTTCAAAGCATATAAATGAAACTAAACCAAATTAAACAGAAAGGAAAAATAAGAAAGATTTATATTAAAATAAATAATTATTGTAAAAGGGAAGCCATTAAGGAAACCTTAAATTCAACAGCAGCAGACTCTTTTAGGGCAGATATGGCTTCAAGGTCAGCTATTTCATTATGGGTTTTGGGTTCCGAACCCGCCTCCATCCAAAGAGCCATGGCTTCTGTTTTGATTCTTCTTCCTGTTGGTGAGCAAGTTTGAAAGAACTCAAGAAAAACCAAACAGATGTTTCTGGGAAAATATTTCGCAAATCAAAATGCGATTTTACACTTAAAGTCGCTCTTTTTATAGATTTAAAATATGCAAGATAAAATCGTTTAGTTAGGTTTACGCTTAGGGTTTGCTTGCAAGTTTTTTTTCACTGATTTTGACCCTTTTTGGGTGATGTGATTTATGAGAGGTTGGAAAATTAATATTTATTAGTTTTTGAGGCATTAATAATGTAATTTGGATCGTACTTTTCAACTCATCGATTGATAATTTTTTATCATTTTTCAAATTTTCTTCAATGATTTCACGTGGTTTGTTACATTGGTTGCGACATTAAATTTAACTTATGATTGTCAAATGTTGTACGGATGGAAAATAACTTTGCAAGTTGATGACTTTTTCAGAATAGAAAAATGCATAAACTTGATACTAGGGATAAAATTCTTTAGCCCTTCCTCTTCGATTGGGTTTGCTACATTTGAAGCCTTGAACGATGTCCAGTGACTCTATATAATCATATCCACATGCACAACCCTACTTCCACCTTTTGGCGTGGGAAAGAGAAATCATAGAAAACCCGAAAAAAGCCACGCTTAGCACAAACTGTGTCCAGCCTAACCATGTAGAATACCAACTCAAATAAGGATTGCATTGCCCGGGCATAAGCAGCTCGACTGTCACGAAATCTGTCGAGCCTGGACCGAGTCAAATACCTTGTTGTATTTTCGGGAATTTAATTTGTTCATCTGAAATCTTGAATAGTGTTCGGGTCACATTACGTGACTATTTACACAATTGGTTACACCAAACTAGATCAAACTGAGGACCAAAGATAAAAGACGTGTCTATTATCCTTTTCAATCATGTCCAGTCGATATACCAAACATAGCTCAAGTGATTCGAAAATGTTGGGAATTTACACATATTTTGGGGTATGATTACACAAGAACAGAACAAAGAGATCCCAGAGAACAGAGGCACAATCTTTTGCATGAAAAACTTCAATCCTCGATGAAATTGCAAAAATAAAAGTGATATTGATTACAATTAGATACAAATATTTACAACTAAACCTGGTAGGCAGGAAAATCTCGTGTCTAAACTATACAACAAATGTGGGATTCGACCTATATAAATTTCATAATCGATCAAGACGAAGACAGCGAATTGCGTAGAGATGAAGACTATATGAAACAACCCACTTGAGGTTTTGAATTGTGTTAATTATACATAAAACCCACATAATTACAAAATTGAGAATGAAATCTATAACAAGAAAGATTACATTTGATCCCAACAATGGTAAAAACACCCCAAGTTTTCAAGATTGTTTCCTCTAGACTTTCTCTACCTTCTTTCGTTAAAATTTTCTGAAACTGATCGTCTCCGGTTGAACTTCCAATCCTTGGACCAACCGATTAAGGAAGGATAGAATGCATTGGTGAATTTCCGAGAAGGACCCATATGAGTCTCTTCTTTCTTGTTTTTCCTCTGAGTAGCTGCCCTCGTTACTGAATTATTTCTCAGAAATCGGGACGAATTTGGATCAAAAACTGAGGAATTCAAAGAAGCATCAGAAGCACCAAAAGATACAGGGACATTTTGTGATGATATATCCTCCATAGGGTATCCAACTGATCCATCCTGATGGGGTGGTGGAAATTTCTCACTCTTTGCCTTGGCATTAGCTTGTGACTCGACTCGCAACCGCTGTAGAATATAGTGGGTGCAAAGAAGGAAATCACTAGATTTTAAGCAAATGAGTTCCTATAGGTAGATTCCAAACACGATTATATACACAAACGATAAAAAGACGAAGATAAAAGAGTTCGAAGATTAAAAATGGTGTTTAGCAGCACAACCAAAATCTTCTTTTAGTGAGGTCTACGACGTCACGAAAGTAGCTCCTAATCTTATTAAAATCTTTGTGTATCATCTTATTACCGAATTCTTATCAGTTGCAATTAGAGTAAAACATAGAACCATAAAATTACACTCAAGAAAATCCTAAACACAATGTAATGATTCAATTCAGCATGAAGGTTCCACTTAATTATATGAGATTTGCTGTGTTCTTTAAAACAAAATTTCTTTTCTTTTAAAAGGGGATCAACAGATTTCACCCCTCCCCTCCAAATGGAGGCTCGAACACAGGTCATCAGCCTGGTAAAGATTCGCTCATAAACACTAGTTGATTTCTTTCTCAATGCAGCTACTTGATATATGGAATCATATATATAAATAGCAATTCCTTTCTCAGTATTCAACATCCGTGTCCCGTTTGGTTAAGCTTAAAAATGAGAGGAAAAAATGTTTTTCAAGCATGTTTGGCTAGGTTACGTCTCTCTTAAAAGTAAAAAAAGTTACTTATTCAGAAATAAACTCTTACCACATTGTCAAAGTAAGCTACTTGTTCCAATTATGAATTAAATAAATAATTATTTTCAAGGTGAACTTTTTAAGCTTAGCTAAACATGGAGAACACTGTCCTCTGACTAAAAGTTGATTGTAAGCTACAGATTCACTATCTCTTTAACTGAGCATTCACGTCGTCTTATTTCCTCCTTCGATTCCCGTCTCTTGATTCTTGCTGTTATTTTTCTCTCTTTTTTACAGCCTTATGCAAGATTAATAACAATTTTCTTAAAATACAAGTGACAGGGTACAACATAGCAAAGCAGAAACCTACTGAGCTCAAATTGCATACAGGACTTTAAAGTCCTTAACCAGCACAAGCCCAGTAAGAGCAGCTCTCCAAATCACACGATTTACACCCCACGCTTCATCCGAAAGACAGCAGTAATTTTTTAATTATATTATAAGAGATGATAACTAAGATAGCATTTAGCATGGTAATATAGAGCATAAACAAAATGGAATCTATTTGACTTACATCTAAGTTAAGTTGTAGCTCGGCGTTGGCTTCTGGCGCTGGAATTGCTCGGCTGACCCTTTCATGAACTCTCACTCTTCTGGTACCATCTACTACACGAGCTTTCCCACCTAAACTTCGTTTCCTGTAGTTAAGATAAATGTCAGCATATAATTGGTATTCGTCAAAAAAATTCTTGAATTCAAGGAAGTAAAAGCACCTTCTGGCTTCTTCAACTCTCAATTTTATATCCATTTCCTTGCTTGGAGGATACTTTGGTAAGCTTGATGGCTCACAGGCATATGGTTCGGTGATAAAGAACTGCTCATAAACAAGCTATTGAATTCAAACACAAGTAATGCTGCCACCAGTGCGCTTGTTCATATTTAATTTTACTAATTAAAACCTCCATCTCCATCACCAGATGCACAAGACAAACACAAATTGCAAAAGAAATAGCAAGTGAAGTAAACTTCTAACAATAAAAGACGTAGGTTTTGTGAAGCAAATTTTTTAATATATACCACCTGCAAAAGGTAAGAACAAGTAGTTCTAAAGATTGGCTATAAACAATCCGCAAGTATGAGGTTTAGCGAGGCAAGCATATTCTAATAAATGAGTTTGTTGAAACAGAACATTTTTATGGAGAAATAAAATGGACAAGAAAACGAAATAAGAACAGAAAAGACAGAAGTTTGATAGGGTACCGCTATTAGCCTACATGCATGAAGCATAAACAATCATACTTAGACGAGGGACTTCATCTCAAAATATTTGGGCGTACTTCAATTGAAAAAGAGCTTAGAACTTTATAACCAAAGTTGGATAGGTTAAGAGCCCATCAGTCACGCACATGGCTTGTTTGTTGCCATCAAATGTGGCTGAATCCCTTGTACTCAATGAGTCAAATGAAGTCCCAGAGCTCACCAAAGATAGTTACACAAGAGTATCGCTTGATTTTGAGATACATTATTCCACTTAGTATAAATATTTTGCGAGAGTTTTGGGATTTAGTACTTTGTACTATTTTATGTTCTCCCCTCTTATAGAAGTGAAATTCCTATCTTCTCGGTACATGGACGTAGGCCAAGTGCCTAACTATGTTAATTTTCTCTGTTATTTCTCTCTTATATTTTGCCTAAACCTCAATGTGGGGGCTTGTGCAATTGGTAACAGAGCAATATCAGAATTATCTTTGACCACTGTAGCCCCATCACTGACATTTGAAGATGTATCAATAGATTTTATTTTGAGTTCCAGAAAATAAAAGAGCACCCAAAAGACCTAGAGAGTTCATATGTTTAGGTTATGAACTGTGTCCATGATCACAGAGCAGAGATGAAAATTCACCACGTAAAACACGAATATTAAAGGAGCCAATAACTTACTCTCACTCACTCACTCAAACAAAGACCACGTACACCAAATAAAATTTTTCGGAAATCTCATTATATTAAAATAATCAACTCTTTACAATGGAACACAAAGAGCATAAACACACAAACTTTGATTGGCTTTTAGTGCAGATACATGCTAGGTAGGTGTTACTGGCTGATATTGATATGTATATCTTACAACTATGCAGGTCGTAATGATTCTGTGTTCAAAGCCATTGCTCCTGCTGGGAAGCATAATAATGTTTCCTAAGAGTGAATTAACTAGCAAACAGCCTCTCATTCCACATGATATATACAGTGATGGTCATATGTGCAATCGGAAGTAGTAAACCTTCATCCAGTTATATAACTTATATTGTCAGAAATGAAAATAAAAATATCTAATAGATATTCAAAAGTGAACCTTTTTTTTTCAAACAAAAATTTTACAGATTCGAGGACTACTCACTTCACTATTTAATGCTGCAGTGGCAGAGCCTCGAGCGTCAGGGTCGATCGCAAGAAGAGTTTCTACCAGAGCGAGAGCTGATGGTGGAAAATCCTTAAATGTCTCTGCTATGCAACACTTGTAAGGTTGCTGAGGTTTATAAAGAGTTGCATTTGGCAATCTGGATTTCTTCCAATATTCCTCTGATGGAGAACCACATAATTTAAAGATCTTGTGAAGTTGCTCAACCTAATTAGCAAAGAAATCGAGAATAAAGATTTTGAACTTGGTCAAATATCCATGACAATAATGATAAAATAGAATGATTTTCAGCTGCCAGAACCTAAAGTCCACAAAATTAGAAATTTCCCTTGTACAAAGCAAATCTGAGAGAGAATACCTCTGTCCGTCCCCGCATTATTGGTTTCCCAGCAAACAACTCTGCCAAAATGCAGCCCGCACTCCATAAATCAACACCAGCCCCATAATAAGTGGCCCCTAATAAAAGTTCTGGAGGACGGTACCAGAGAGTGATAACACGACTGGTCATGGGTTTCTTGCGTTCAGGATCATAAAAAGAAGCTAACCCAAAATCGGCTATTTTTAAGGTTCCATCATCGTCAATTAACAAATTAGAGCATTTGATATCACGATGTAGAACACCATTGTCGTGGCAATGCTCAAGCCCAGACAGCAATTGTTTCATAAAAGATTTGACCTGCAACAGGAAATATAATTGTGATAAGCCACTCAAATATTCATAACATGGCTAATAAACAAAACTGCTGACACTAGTAATTTTATATCAAATTTTCTCAGAAGTCTAATAAAGATGTCAAGGTCAAAAATGTATACTGACAATAAATTGCGAAATATAATGTTATAGTGAAGAAAGAGAAATCTCCACTCCTGGTGGAAAATTTTATAGTTCTTTACAGGCTGACCTTTGACTTCTATACTGTATAGTTTCACCTCACTGCATCACTCTGTAAGTCTGTTTTCTAGTAGTGGTTAGGGTTTATAATTTGAGTGTGAAAGGAACGAGTCCCAACAGACTATTTCTTGAAGCTTAGATTTTATATAAACATCTATCTTTCGATACAAAGACCAATATTATTTATATGAACAAATAATAATTTCCTAATATTTGTAAATACAAGTTTGCACAATTTCTTGGACAGTGCACGACATTTAGCTGCAGACAATCCTAAGTTGCTGTATTGCAGAAAGTCTAAGCATAAAATTCGTTCTCAAACTTGCAAACCATTACAACGTCATTTGATAGCTTGTTAAACCTTCCATCAATCATCAAAAAGAAAAGGAATGAAGTGCATGTTCTGCTTTCTCAAACACTACAGAGCAGTTACACGTCCTGAAACACTAACAACAGCAATAGTGAAAGTATTTGAATCTAAGTATCTAACCAATTAATTTAATAGACTGCAAACCAATTAAACCCATCAAATCAAATTATAAGAGATTTAAAAAAAAAAGTTCATATTCTTGCTTCCTAAATTCTCTACCTGGGGTTCTGTGAACTTGACACCTTGGACGGCAGTGAGGCCAGCAAGGTCATGCTCCATATACTCCAAAACAAGGTAAAGACTGCTAGACATTCTCGAAATAACCAGCCCTTCGAGCTTAATTACATTGGGATGATTCAGCCTACTCAAAATGAGTATTTCTCTTGCAACAAATGCAACGGTTTCTGGCTCTAAGTTATCGAACCTTACTTTCTTCAACGCAACAACCTTCCCTGTTATCAAGTCGCGAGCTTTATACACATTGCTATATGTTCCTTGCCCGATCTAATCAAGAAAACAACATTATGACTACAAATTTACAATAATTCAATGATATACGAGCTTTTTTAAGTATTTTCTTGTGCATCGTACTTCTAAAGATAGGCAAACAAAAAATCCACAAATTCAAAGCAAATGTGACTTTTATGATAGCAATCTGATATTTCATTTCTCAGGGCACGCAAGCACCACCAAAGTGTTGGAGCACATTTGGCTGAGCTCAAAAGTAAATCAAACTTACTTTCTTTACTAACAAAATTTCCTTTTCTAAAAACAAATCTATTCTTACTTTTTGAAAAAAGCAGCTTTTAAGCGCTCTTGCAATAGAAGTTCTTTTTCATACCAGTAAAATTATTATTTGTTCACATTTCACAATAGCCAGTGACCCTAATGTAGTCACTCCAAACACATTACATATGTAATGCATGCTATCGAAGGTTGTACCTTGCGATTCAGAAGTTGGTACTTTTCTCTAAAACTACTGTTGAACTGCAAAATATATGTATCTACGCACCTTATCGAGTTTCTCAAAAGTGTTGGCACGACGTGGGCTCCAGTTCTTGATGGCGTCGCCAGCGACGTCGACTAGCCACGAAGGCCATCCTTCCCGGGTGGTGGTTCCGCCAGTTCGGAGTCGAAACTCCGGCGTAGAAGCCGTATGTCTAAGAAATCCCTCATCTCCCACCGGAATCTCTCCGATCTTCTTCTCTCTTTCACAATCGTTCTGAACCCTCGTGAGGTCGGGTTCTGAAGCCTGCCCATTTTCTTCCCTGCGGCGAGAACTCCGTCGAGCTTCTTTTCCCTTGTCATCTCTTTTTCCAAGAACACAGCCCATTGCAAAAAATCAAAAATTTCAATAAACTAAACTCAAATTTCAGCTGCCCGTCATCTTATTTCAACAAATTTATCAGTTTCAAGAAATCAAATTATTATTAAAAAATTAAATAAACCCAATCGGAAGAGCAGTTAGATAAACAAAACAGCTTTGCATTTATTCCTCCCTCCCCTTTTGTGTATGTTTTGATTCAATTGAGAATAAACAATTCTACAGAAGAAATTAAGCTGAAAAATTTACAAATAACCACACAAAAGAACACTGCTATTGTCCGAGTCTGTGACAGACTGCATTTATTGCTCTGTGTCTCTGTATTTTGAATGCAAGAAAATGAGGTCCTGAATACAAATATTTGCGTCAACACAGAGAGAAGAAAAGTTGTGTCCTTTTCTTTTCGTTGGAATTTTGGTATTTGCGACAGCAATCGATTGATTAATCCATTAAAAAAGGTTTATTACTTTCTGGCATCAAAAACTGAAATGTTTTTCCTCACCAAACGAGCTTTGCTTAGGATCCGTTTGGAAGTGTTTTTTACTTTTGTTCTGTAGGAGAATTTTTTTAGAAAGCTATCTTACTTAAAAAAAATTAGCTAGATAAATTATTTCCAAACAATTATTTAAGGGTATGTTTGATTGGTTTAAATTCCATTAAAAATGTCGCATCCGATTAATTCAATTTCTACTTAGACTGTTTAATACGAAAGTGAAAATGGAGTTCGAATTCCAATGTACAACCACTTTAAACTTTATTTTGTCAATTCCATAGAAAATGCATTCCTATCGGGTATTTGAATTTTTATTTTCCAACTTATATAAAATTGGAAAGTCTTTCCATATTTACAAATCAAACGGACCCTAAGCAGGCTCAAAATAGCTTTTTAAGTCTCGAAACCATTTTTTTTTTACTTTTTTTATAAAAGGCAAGCCAATCAGCCCTTATATACTTGTATAACTGCTCACAAAAAAAATTCAAATTCAATTATGTATTAATTATACTATGGTTCATAAATAATCATAAAGTCCAAACATCATCGAACTATCCATGACATAAATGATTATTCTTGTTGTACATAATTTTCTACATAATCTTTTACTGAATCAACAAGTGNAAGGCCCCCCCCCCCCCCCCCCCCACCACCCAATAGGGAGCTGCCACTTGTCGATTCGATAATCCATTATGTAGAATATTAAGTACATGTAGCTTGATCCAAAACAAACGCTACATTTTAGAGTTTTTGTCACTATTTAAAAATAAATAATTACATATTATTTTATTGTATCGACAAATTGTAGTACCGATTAATAATTATTATAAATTTGTAGTTTTTCAATCGAAATAATTTTTTTTTTTTCAGTTTTACATTGTATTTACTATTTATTGATATTAAATTCTGTTCAGGATAAATGAATTTAAATGCAAATATGGAGAGAGAAAAGGAAATGCTTACACCTTACATACCTACTTCGCCAAACCTATTAAAATGGGCATATTTTGCATTTATTATATCAGACACAAAAATAAGTGCATAAATGTGACAAAGCATGAATATATTGGTGTTGGTTTGAACATTGCAATCTACGAAAGATCTCGTTTGAATCCTAGTGTAGGGAAGTAGTAGAGATTGATAACGATGTCAATTATTGAGACGAGATTGTTCAATTGGAGTTGAGTTGGTAGAGCAACGCTGTAGTAAAGAATGTTAATCAATAATCATAACTTAACGGTAACACTATTGTGATTCATGTCAAGCGTCTTCTGTCTTGTCCAACGATACTTTCGATAATTTTCTTGAATGCATGTAAGATGAAAATAATCCCAAAAAAAAAAATTCAGTATGCGTTAAAACATATAAGTCTAGAATTTTAGCTCATGTTTGGTAGAATTTTTTTCAAAATATATTTGTAAATAATGATTTTTTTGGAAAATGAGATATTAAAAAGTAGGGAAAGGTTATGAATATACGTGCGAGAACGCGTTATTGAAAATGAGTTTGAAGAAAAATTAATTTTAAAAAATTGGGGTCAAACAAGGAATTAGTATAACAAAAGAAACCAATTGCTCTAAGCAAACTTTAGCTTACTTTTACACTTGATCAAAGTACTAAGCAATTGATGCATCCTGGTTGGGGGCATCATTAACATAGAAGTCTAGAATCTAAATAAAATAATAAGTTCATTAATACAGTATAATGGTAATGCATCAGTATCAAATCATGCCAATTGATGCATCCTTGTTGGGGGCATCATTATTTTCATTAATTTATTTTGTGGGTATAATCAATTAATTTATATGCTTGGTAAATATATAAAAGCTTTTTAAAGTGGAAATTAAAAAAATAAAAATGGAGATTTCCATTCACATATGTTTGGGGTTTTGCTTTACTAGATTTTCAAACCGTGTAATTGATGTAAAAGGTAGACCAAGATATCGAATAGTGACAAACTTCATCGAGGTCGACTCCATTTATTTTTGCTTAACATGACCTTGATCCAACTCCCTCGAGTCAAGGCAAGATTGTTTGATTGGAATAAAGTTTGTTTTATTACGAGTGGTCTTCATCGAGATGAAGTTTAGCAACTCTATCAAAATGTCCCACTTCAGAAACATTCAAGATTGCTCTAACAAGGCCATATCGATTGCTTTTAAGGACCGATTGTTCAATTCAACTACACAAGGATGGAGTCATTTTCATCTTGAACCTGCATGAGGATTTCGATATCATCTCCCTCATTTTCATCACGATGGACCACAAGGAGGATATAATTTTTCATGTATAATATACCGATTTCATCTTAAAAAATTACAAAAACAACGAGTTTCTTATACAAGAAGATCTTGAATTATATCATATGATTTGTTTATAAATAAACAATTTTAGCACCAAAATGTTCGACAAGATTTATAAAATAAATAATACTAGTCGGCAAACTTTTCTAATTCTGTACTCACTTATACCACAACACGAGATGATACAAACCATCAAATCGCTATCACTTATTCAAAATATCGCGACAAGAAAGTTGACTAACTAATGTTTACATTGAAATTTTCAATGCTCGATCTAAGGCAAAATATGACAGGAACAATAATACAACCCATCAAACTCGAGTCAAAATTGCATGTTTTGAAGAGTAGAAATTTTGCTATTTCCCAAGACTTCTTATTTGAAATTAACCAATAGACGAATCGAAGTGGGAAAAGAAGTCCACAAATTCAACCGAATTAATGTATACTATATGTGAAAGATACACATTTGAATAGAAAAAAATAAATAACTATAAGGGTTACATTTTTTTTCAATTAAATTGACTCGGGGTTTTTATATATTTTATTTCATTTTCTACTAAATAATCAATTCAAATCATGTGGTTTGATTGCCAACTCCCATAATGGAATTGAGTGGGACCATTTGATTTTCATTGGTCACAAAAATAAAAAAATATGAAATCCACTTATCCACGTAATTGATGATAATAGATTATAGATTAGATGGACAAAACCGTGGGAAAGAGGAAATTAAAGGGGAGCCCATGTTAACTATTTTGGAAGTAAAAAATATTATGTTCGATAGAATACGTTTGCTATGCAATGTTAAACTTAGTACAATTATTAGAAAGGATATTGAACCTAACTCAACCTAACAAAATCGGCTTGTTAAGGGAGGATTGCCCTGACCTTATTAAGCGGATCATGTAAATATCACCAGTCAATGTGGGATTTTAATACGTCCCCTCACGCACAGCGTGGATCATGCCAAATAATTGTGAACAAATCGATATTGGGTGCACCCAACATTACAAAACTGGATCTGCTCTGATACCATATTAGAAAAGATATTGAGCATAACTCAACCTAACAAAACTGACTTGTTAGGGAAAGATTGTCCTCACTTTATTAAGTGGATCATGTAAATATCACCAGTCAATATGGGATTCTAATAACAATCAACATATTTTAATTTATTTTTTTATTTTATAATTGTTTAGCTCCTCTTTATGCACAAGCAAATAGTTCGTAATTTGTATGCTTCGATGTTATAGTTTAAAAAACTTCTTTTAAATTTAACATTTTTAACCATCAAAATTAGATATAAGTTATTGTGGAGCGTACCTCCCATTCACGTTTGTGACGAATAATCATGGTTCTTAATCTAATTTAATTTAATGGTCTAAATGGATTTTAATAAATCCGTTTGAAACCCTTATGTCCAAGCACACCAAATTCAATTCAACGGGAGATTTTCAAAGAATCGAAATTGAAGAGACTTTCAAATAATCAAAATCAAACAAAGTACGTAGTAGATCGTTTTCGGGGTTGAGGGGAAGAAAGGGATGATAGGAGATTGAGGATTATTAAATTGAATTTGATGTGTTTGGACGTGGGTATAGGGATTTAAAAGATTTTATTACATCCACTTAAATCATTATATTAATTTTTATTAAGGTTCATGATTATTTGTCAAAAACAATGATACGAAAAAAAAGTAACTTATTTTATTTTAAAATAAGACAAATATAAACTATCTAAATATTTAAAGATAAGAAAATTACTTATAAGTTTCATTATCTTTGGTTAAAATTTTACTTTTCAAAAAATGAGTAGTGAAAAAAGTGGATAGCTGTATAGTTAAAATTAATGTTCAACTTTTTAGCAAAAAGAAATACGGAGGGCCGTTTGTCATTACTTTTAAAAAGCTAAAATGAAATTTTAAGATTCAAAAACTATTTTTGGACCCCATTTGACTAAGAACAAGGCTGTTTGTACAGTCCGAGCTTCACAACTCGAGCTACAGCACCCTCACAAAGCGGCGGGTCCCGCTTTGTGTTTGATTATTTTAATTGTAGGCCCCACCCCCTGAATGTGAGAGGGCTGTCAT